TCCAACCACGCACAGCATGTTGCAAAGCAGCCCATTAACTTCACCTTCAATATCTGGCATTCTCAGTGCTGAGCTCCTGCAGGAGAGAGAGAGATCTTCAGTTGTAGAGGTGTGAATCTGCAAACCTGCAGTGGTTCTGCAGTTGCTTCACAAAATCTTGTCTAGACAAAAATTTGTGGCCAGTGTGACAGAAGATAACCAGCAGCAGGAGGCAACACGTGGACACAAAGTGGTGTATGGGGGCAGGCAGGCAGTAAATCTACAATGTGGAAGTGGGGAAAAGAAACCCAAGCAGCAGTTTGCAGAGTGCCACTGTGAGGTGTGGGAACAGCTTTTGTGTGAGCAGTGTGAAGCTTTTGCGTGAGCAGTGTGAAACTTTCGGTTCTGCATCAGGCCATCATGAAACCACTTTGCAGAAAGCTTAATGTATGGAAGGGAATCAAAATTGCAAATTTGTTTCTGTTAAGAGAGGCTGTGTTGGAATCTAGAATATGAAGCAGCATACCCATACTCATAGGCAATGTTTTCAGAAGATACTGAAAAATATCCATGTTTATTTGTTGCATATTGGTTAATCAAGCTTTTATTAGAAGTGACATGGAAGGAGGCAAATTGTGATCCTTTAAAATAAATATCAGGGATTTTCTCAAACTACATTACAGGAAAGGGAAGTGGCTGGCTACATATGATTTAGAAGTTCCCCGTATGTTATTAGTTTTTTTCTTTTTAATTTTTTTATTTCCCCAGAAGACTCATGACTACATTTTGTAATTATAAGAGTGGGTTATGAAATCAGTAACTGTTCTCTTGAAGTTTCTGAGTGAGATAATTTTTAAGAAACAAAAGAAAAACCCAAGGTAGAAACCAAGAACAAGGTACAGTTTTACAGCTGCCACTTTCAGGATTATTCCAAACTTCTCAGGCAGTAAAGCAAAGGAATTCAGACTGAGGTGCACATCGTGTTTTAGAAGTAGCTGTAAGTAGTAGCTGGGGTGGGAGGTGTGTTTCTGATCAGATTTACAATCCAGCTTCTTTCCTTTGGCAGTTTATTCTGGCTTCTTGGTAGGAACCTCTGAGGCAGGCAGACAGTGTGCTACCACCCTCCAGTGGTTTGCACAGCACAGCGCAAGTGTCATGTTGGGAAATCTTATTCGGAAAATAAAAAGGGGGCTGAGGATATTCCAAGCTTTCTGCTGGGGATACATATTGTTACACTTTGGATTTGTTTGGTGACGTGTAAAAAGTCTTTTTATTGTTGTTAGATGTTACAAAGTGTTTTAGCACACCTGTTCTATGAAGCCTAATGATATTCATGCGATTGCTTGCATTTGCAGGACCTTAAACCATCTGCATCTGTGATGATTTCCTATCAGTGTTTGTACTGCTTCCAGGATTAACGAATCTGTGGGTGGTGACAATTGGATGTACAGCAGTGAAGGGATGCTTCCTAGGGGGTTGTGCAAAAACTAGTTTGTCTATCAGTTTAGTGACTCAGTAATTTGCAAATTATTATAAATGTCTCCTCTGGCTGTTAGTCTTCCCTTCTTTCTCTCCTTACAGTCTCTAGAGCACCTTAGGAGTATTAGCATGTAAGTTTCCAAAAAAATTGCATCTGTGTACTTACTTTTCTGTTATTTTTCTGTTCTTGGTGGCATCTTATATTCTGTGCATGGCATGTTACAGTGTCATCAACCTGATGGTTGCATTTTTCCTAGATCACTGATGAAGATAACAAAACATGATGCAATTTATTTTTATCTTGCTGTCATGAATGTGGAAAGCCATGAGAACTGCATAAGCTTCTAAACACAGCAGGGATGAATTTATCAGTGGTTAAGGAGGCATTAAAGCACTGTGTGACGTGAAAGGTAGCACCTGCCAAACTTCCCCACACAACTTCAGGCTGTATCAAGTCCTGGGCTGTAAAAATTTTCAATATGAGGCTATTGAAAAAATCCTGAAATAGTGAATTGCACTTTTCTGCTCCAAGACAACACAAATTGCTGGATCATCTACTAACATCACTCATTTAGTACAGAGTGACAGGAGTCACACAGTACTCTCTGTTCAGCCAATCTAAAATATGTGAGTAGGACAGGAAAGTTATGTCAGCTACCACTGGGATCACCAGGAGTACAACATAAAGTTTAATTGTGTTTCCCCTTCTGAGTTCGGCTCATCATGACTGTAGTTGAGAGAACTGGGACTGCAGCTAGGGGAGGACAAAACAGAAGCACAGCTTTGGGACACACTAAGAGCTGTTAAATGCTCCCGTATGAGACGGAGTCTCTCCTTGGACCTTTTTCCTTTCTTGTATCCCAATCTGGGAGTACAAGGTACTCTGCAGCATCTTCTAGTTCCATAACCATGGTGGTGGTCTCTCCCAGTCTCTGCCAGCCAGCTTATTTCTGGGGTGATAATGCGTGTGTGGACAGAATACCCAGACAGGCAGGCAGGGTGTCTTGCGGGAGAAGAAAAGGGGCCAGTTAGAGGAAGCAGAGTCCAGCAGGCCTCGGCTTGCTTTCTGGCTAGGTTTGATCACGGGATGTTAGCAAAAAGGCCTGCTTTAGTCCTTTCCTGCTAGCTCCCTCTCCTCATATACTTTCTCGTAAATCTCAGTAGAAGTTTGTGAGCTTGTTCCTTTACTTACCTGTCCTGCTTGTTGGTCATTTGGTTTTGTTTGGTTTTCTTCCACCTGCAAAATGTTTACATTTAGAGTCATAGGACCAGCAATTGTCTTTGACTGGGCATTCAGGTCAACACTTTGAGGCTTTTGAGTTTGTTAGAGCATAAAATGGCTACAATGAGACTGCACATATAATTGACAATGAAAATCTTGCACAGAATCTTCTCTCCAGTATACCAAAAAGTGTAGCATCACAGTTGAGATGACAGAAAAATTCTGTTTAAGAACAATTAATTCTTCTTTATATGTTGATCTCTTACAAAGCATCCACAGGTAAGTGAGGGGCTAAGGTAAAATCCTTTCTTCCACCTGGACAAAGACAACTCTTTCTTTGGAAAGAAAGTCTTTTGCAAGACTTGCATTGAATTTTCACTGCAGAAAGGATGAAAGTCTCCAGGTCAAATGCAGTGTAACCCGATGACTGTAATAATATAAGACTGTGATAATAATGCCTCAGACTTTCTGGCTGGCCACTGAATATTACCTACATGAACTACAATGAATATAAAGTGTTGGGGTTTTATTACTTAAAAAAAAAAAAAAAAAATTCTCCTATTTTTTCAAACTGCCATACAAAACCCTGCAAGTTTTCACTCCTAAGTCAATGTATCAGAAATTGAAATGGTGTCTCAGTTGATAAATAAACTGATAGCTCTGACTCTTTGTATATTACGTAGGAAATACTTCCATTTTTCTAAGCAGTTAAGCCTTGTGTTCATTAAAAGTGTGATCAGCAGGTCAGGAGAGGTGATTCTGCCCCTCTAGTCTGCTCTCATGAGACCCCACCTGCAGTGCTGCATCCAGCTATGGGGTCCCCAGGACATGCTAGAGTGAGTTCAGAAGAGAGCCACAAAAAAATCATCAGAGGTACTTCCAACTCAAAATATTCTATTATTCATTAAATTTTGGCAAGGGCTAGGAAAGGTCCTAGAGACTGTGTTTTGAGGCAACAGCTCAGGCACATGCAAGCTTCAACTGCCATTAAAAACCAAAATTTGTTTGTCCTGGTATGTCCTGCTCTAAAACCAGTGGCGGGAAGAAGTATTTCTGAGAGTTATTCCTCGTAGTGACGTGGCATTGACCCCCTCAGCTTTACTGCAGCTGTGCTCCTTCAAAACGTGACCTGACAGCAAAAAGCGTTCTGAATAGAATGGCCATATTGGTTCAGGTGAAAGGCTGACCATGTAGCTTAGATGCCATCTCCAACCGTAGCCATAAAGAATTTAGGGAAATTTGTTTTTTCCCAGAAACAACATTGAAAAACAAACAAACAAAGTAAACAGTCGACAAAACCCAAAACAATACAAAAACCTAAACAAGGAAAACAAAGCCAAACTCGTGCCTTCAAAGTACATGTATGCCACCTCAGTGCTCTGCAGTGGCCAGGGTTTCTATCCCAGCCTTAAGCCGCTAAGGGTGGGCACTGATCTGAGCACAGCTCTGTCTGGTGTTCCCAGGGCCGCAGGGAGGTGGCACTCGTGTCTCATGCTTTGTACTGGTTCCCTTCCTCAGATGGTAGTGTCCGATTCCGAGATTTTTCATTGGAATTAGGGCATTTTACTTTTAAATGCCATATTCTTTCATCTTTTTTCAAAGGCAAACGTTTTAGTAGAGAAGGGTTTTGTTTTGAAGAAGTGCTAAAAAAAAAATTATGTTCTCACAAGCAAGATTAGAAAATATTGCCTCAAGAGTTGCACTGTTCAAATGCAGGGAATAGCCTATTTAATCTTAAAATAGCCTTAAACTAAGATAGGATCTAGTACCATAATTCAGAAACATATGCCTGGAAGATCCTCCTTGCGTTATTGAGGCTGAGTGCTATCATGTACGATTATTTCCACATAATCATCTTTTCAAGTTTATTGAATTTAATCCTCAATGGGGTTGCATTTCCTGTGCTTTTATGGGAAGACTGTTACATAACTGCATTCCTCGAATTTTAATAAGTACTACAAACTAATGTTTGGGCTTTTTCTTGTCTCATCACCAGAAGTGCAAATTTAAAATAAATATTCATCTTTTTACCTGTTTATTAACATGTTATGGCTGTACTGTAGTGAAATTAGATATCATTCACAAACAGACAGAAATAGAACTCTTCATTCCTCTGAATCTGTGAAAATGAGATGATTGTGAATTTTACAGTGACAATGCACATAGTCCTTTAATGTGTATTACCAAAATAAAAGGATTTGTTAATCTTATTACTGCTTGGGTTTTTGGCAGAAAGAGCCAGAATAGTCTAGTCAGTTTATTGCAAAATTTTACAGGTCTGATTTTTTAACTCCTTTTTTTTTTATTATTATTATTTCAGTGGGAGAAACTACAGATGACAACAAGTGAGAGGAGGAAAATAGTGTGTTCAGTCACATTCCACGTAATTGCAATTACCTGTGTTGTTTGGTCATTGTATGTTTTAATTGATAGAACCGCTGAAGAAATTAAACAAGGCAATGATAATGGTAAGTATCTTTTACCTTCTTTGTTGTTGTTGATAATGCAGTGGCTGGCTTTGCAAGGCAGCTATATAACCAGTCACACTCTATTCTTAAATAACAGCTCACAGACAAATGGCTACATCAAATGCTTTAATGCAGAAGTTCTGAATGCATCAGCATTAAAAGCTTATGTTATGCCCCTGCAGAGAGAACTCTACTTTGTGTAATCATTACAACAGCTTAACTAGCCTGCTGGTTCTTGCTGGGTTAATCTCCTATTATGTAGGTATTTCTAAAGCTCAGGCAAAGCGATGAGTCAAGTTCAAACAGCTCGGTGCAAGTTCAGGTCATTAAAATAGCGATTTATTTATATTACTCCCTTGAACCTTGATAGCAAGTAAAACACGATAGAACCTTTTCATTAACAAGCTTCTTCATACGAACTTCCAAGAGACCGTGTTCCAGTTGTGTTAGTCCTTCATGTGGAACTTAAGAAGCATGGAAAGCCATTCCTGCATCGTTGCAAATAGAATTTCACGGTGAATGTGAGGATAGTTAAACACTGGAACAGAGAGGTTGTGGAGTCTCCATCTGTGGAGATCCTGAAAACCCAACTGGACATATGTAACAAAATGCATGTTTAATGTAAGTAGGTTTATTTTTGGGCCATACTTAGCATATGTGGAAAATATATGATAAATTGAACTACTGTTTTCCATTTCAAGTCTAAGTCTATTTGGTCTTAAATTTAGTCTTAAATGTGATCATGATGATAAAAAACTTTTCAGTTTTGATCTGAACTGACTTTAAGCACAGTAGGGGAACAGAGGTCTCTCTAGCTTTGTTCTATATTCTGAAGTTAACATGGAAAACAAGACAGGTGGAACTTTGTGCCTTGCTAGTTAGATAAATATTTGATGATACTCTTGATGCTTGCCTTTCTTGCCTATGAGAGGAAAATAAGCAACAAGGCTCAATAAGTCACAGATGAATATATACTACAAAGTCTTGCTTTGCATTCTTTTGAAATGGGTTTTTTATCTCAAAATACCTGGCCCTGAGGACAGTACTAGGAATGGCTTTGAACTTTTATTTACGAGTACATCACTTAGAGTACATCACTTATTACAACGGGGAAGCTATTTCTGTGGATTAGCTACATTTTCATAACAAAACAGCTAACATGAACTTTTGTTGTTAAACACAATGGAAAAGAATCACATTAATTATTCTTGGTAGGCTCAAAAAGTATTTATGATTTGTATAGAATTCAGTGTTTGCCAAATGTAATGGCTGATTTTTTACACTAAAAGTGGACAAAGAGATGCCTTGGAGCTACATGTAAAAATAAATGTTTGCGAAGAGAACTCTCTTGCTCCAAAATTTGCTTGTCACAGGGGAGTACTTTTACAAATTCAAACATATTTGGGGGGAGAAAGAAGAAACATGTAAGTAGTTTACTTTCTTCTCCATTTTCTCTCTTTAAATGGGAATTGCTGGGAAAAAGACAGTGAAGACTGGAGAAAAACCACTTTATAAACATATTTTGAGGAGAAGAAAAACTGAAAGCCCAGAATAATACTAGTGGTGTTTGTTAATATTCTGTAAGTGTAAAAATCCTGTTTTAAATGAGTACCTCAAACTATTTAAAGGCTTGGGTTTTTTTTTTTTCTCCTTATGGAAGTATACCATGCAAATCTCTTAATTGCTGTATTGAGCATTATGCTTACTTTGTGAGAGTGGCCCTTGCATTTCCTATTTGACCAAATTGTGGTGAAGTCAGAAGTGGGAGGCAGTTTCTTGGCTGGCCTATGGAATAGGAAGCCCCTTCTGTTTTCTACTTGAGCCATAACTGCCCCAATAGTGTGTACATACCTGGGGATTCTTAGCAAGTGGCTTCAGTATATTTGATTGAAATTCAGTGCTTGATATTCAATGTGTAATGGTGGTAATAAATATAATTTCTATTCCACAGGTGTCCTTGAATGGCCATTTTGGACAAAACTCGTTGTAGTGGCCATTGGATTCACAGGGGGCCTGGTCTTTATGTATGTGCAGTGTAAGGTTTATGTGCAGCTGTGGCGCAGGTTGAAAGCCTACAACAGAGTGATCTTTGTTCAGAACTGCCCAGACACCATCAAAAAACTGGAGGAGAAAAATTCTTTGTGCACTCAGAGCTCAGACATCAAGGATGCAGTGGTGGTGCCAGTAGCACAGACAGGTACAAACTCTCAGCCAGCAGCGGAAGGAACGACATCTGAGGTCATGCCAGTTTGACAGAGACAGCATTATTTCTTCTTTGCAGAGTAAGGTGTAGTGTATTCTACACTACAAATGCTACAAGAAAGTAGAAATGACTTTGCATTTTTTCAGTTAAAAAAAACCAACAAAAAACAACAACAAAAAACCCACACGAAAACCAAAACCCTATGAGGAAAATGGATCCAGCAAAGCAACTTGTTACTGTATGGAATGTGACCGTTTGTGGAGTAGTTTTGCAACTAGTCAGCAAGTGTAGTGAAAGTGGAAGTGTAGAAAGTGCAATAGACAACAGGTTTAACAGACAATGCCAAACCAATGTGACAAAAGTACTTTTTTTTTTTTTTTAACTGGGATGGATGGGAAAGTAGACAGACCTGATATAATAACTTTGTTTACAGAGAACCAAAACCTTTAATCTGTTTACTACTGAAAGTTGTATTTGCTATTTATCTCTTTAAATATATGCTTCAAAGAGTACCAATCCAATCATATGCATTAACAAATCCAAGTATAGAGAGCTCTATCGCAGCACTCACTCTCTAAGCTTCATACGGTAACGCACGTTCATGTGACTGTAGCGAAGCCTGAATGCTTGGACAGCTGTGTCAACTAAGGATATTTTAACTGTGCCTGTATTTTTGAAAAGTAAACAACTCCAACCAGTATAAACTCATATAATATACTTACAGGTATATTTTTAAATACAGCTGTCAGCAACATAAGTACAGGGAGGAGATAATATGTAGATATGCATTTAAAAGAGCAGCTCTGCTGTTTATTTTACCAATAAGAGTGAATTAGACATAAATTTGATATGCAAAGTATTGAGGCAGAATTGTAAATGAAAAAAAAGCAGTTTACTGCATGATCACATGAAAGTAAATTGACTATTATCAAAGGTCTGAAAAAGGATGACACATACTGAAGATGGAAGCCATTTCTGGTTTTATTTTTTAAGATTCACGATACAGAAAGGTAGATGTAAGAGAACATACCTACCTACATATCTTAAGGAAATATTAGGTTTTTTCTCCTTTTTCTGAAAAGTTAGTTTTTATCTTCCTGGCTGAAAAAACAAATCAATGGTTTCCTTCTGTACAGGTAAACTTGAGGTGTTAGAGGTTCAACAGTTCATTTGTTAACTTCGTGTTTTGAGCATTGTCATATAAAAATGAAGTGTGAATAGCATTAAAAGGTGCAATAGATAAATGAATGTAGATATAATACTCTGTCCAACAGGGTGAATTATATATAAAGAACCAATTTTGTGATTCACTTTGCATACCTGTGGTGTTTACCATCAGGACGCAAGCGCAAGTATTGACTTGGAGTAGTTATGTACTGGTGTGGACAAGTCTGGGGCCTGAACATAATGTATATTTAAAAAGTTAAAAGTTGTGGGTTTTTTTTAATCTTGTATTTAGGTAAAGGAGGAAAAGCAAACAAGCAGATAAAGAACCAGAGTAAAGAGGATAGGAGAGCACAACTTCTTTCTAAGGGGGGGTATCTGCCACAATTACAAGTAAACTAGAGTTCTACAGAAGGCTTGAAGTTTCTAATAATAAATTTTCTCTTTATATACTCAAGTATTTATAATGAAAAAGCAGAATCATCCCTTTCTTGCAAATATCCAGCATGCTGGGCCTAAGATGTACTGGAGTTTTTATACTAGGTATTCCTTTGTAATGTTTACTGGCTTAAGGCTCAGGGAATACTGGAAGTAGCAGTATTAGCAAGAAATGTGTCTAATCAAATCATTATGTTCTTTTGTATTGCAATTGCTCATGTAATTTGGCTGTAACTGAGTGATTGTCATCTGGCTAGACAACAAAATCTTGGTGCTTGAATGGATCCTAAACAGATGTCAGTATTTGCTGTAAGTTACTCCAGGTGAGTTGGATTAATGTTTTTTTATGTAATGACACACACTTTTTATATAAAATAACTTCCCAGTTATACAACTGCAGATCACAATTGCAGCAGTTTGTCCTTTGAAATGACATACAAGAGAAACCAAACCATTTCTCCATTTAAAATTGTGGAGGAGACTTCAGAAGGTCTCCAGAGAATGACAGCAGTACTAACAAATGCCACATAACTGCACATGTTTAAGACAGTCTGCAACAACATGGTTTACAAGAAGTGTAAAAGCTAATTGCTAAAAGGTAAATCTCGTGCTATCTGAAGTTAGACACTTAAAATTACTAACTGCATTTGAATGTGTGGAAGGATGTTTACAATATACCTGATGAATCATAGCAAAATTTACTGACAATGTTATTATGAAGGATAATTAAGAGCTTTCTGAAATAATAGTTTCTTACTATGTAACAGTAACCCTGGTCCTTTAAGCAGCTTGTTCTTTGACCTGCTGTAGCATCATGACCCCACTGAAAGTACTTTATCCCTATTTTGTCAGTTTAAAGGAGACTAATTCGCATTAGGGTTTTTTACTTGAACAAGTATAATTTAACTCAAAGAAGAAAATACCTGAGGCTTCCAAAAGCAGAATGGTAACGTCCAACAAAATTATTGTACGTTTTTAAAAACACACTGAAGAGTCACCAACAGAACAAACAACGTGCAAAATTTTATACTAATGCCTTCCCCTTCAAAACACTGTTTTGGCATTCAACTATATCTGCAACTGAGTTTAGTTAAATAAATAAAAGAATGGAGGAAGACTTCAGTTGAAATTCCTCCTCTCCCTTTGAAATACTTAATGTGGACAGCACGAAAAGAGCAAAATGGGACACTGTGCTGAGATGGACAATGAGCCAAGGCATCAGCAAGAGAGGTTTCAGCAAGCTTGAAGCAGTCTTTAACGTTTTAAAGTATTACAGTATTAGCTCGTGCATCCCATTCTCTTCTTATGTGCGCTGCACATTCTAGAGCTTTCAGGGATTTCATGCAGGATTGGAATTTGTTTCTGAAGCAGGGTACAACCTCTTTAAGAGGGCAAGGAGCTATTCATGCCACCATGCCTCGGATTCAGGTCTTCATTAATAAGAAAAGTGCACAAATACAGACATTAGACAAATGCTTATCAACCAGTAGTTTTTCATTCCCAAAGTACAATTTTCTGTATTAATTTAATAACCACAGGATTCTCTCCTAAAAAAGACAAAACCAAACAACCCCCCCCCCCCCAAAAAAACCAGTATACCGAAGATTTTAAGATCCAGACTAAGACTTTGTAATAAAGATGACGTCTCAAATAAAGAACAATATCAAACTGCCTGTGTAGCCACAGTACATCTCAGGCAAATAAGCCGACAGTGCAATGTGGCCTAGCTAAACCCGCAAGGGCAGAACCTTGCTCTAAGCTGCCATTACCAAGTAGAGCTTAATCGGCTTCTTGTTTAAATGAAGTTTTAATGAAGGTAGACGGAAATAATCTGATGTCAGGTCAGATCTGGAAGTTTAAACAAGATACTCCTAACCTGTGAACATGCACATTTCTGTTCCTAAGTTACAAGCATTAAAAAGTTTATTTCAAACTGGCATAAACATACCACTTTTGACTATCATTAGCATTACAAAGATTCTCAACTAGTCCAACTGTGCCATTCACACACTGTTCTATCTGAAGGCAGTTTATTTTTGTTGTGTAGAAAAAATAGTAATTCCCCATCACCAGAGCAGTTTATAATTTCTAATAATGCAATGAAACTCTATAATGAAAATATTTTACTCTGTATAATATTCGGAACTACAAGTTTGTGTTACTTGTTTAACTCCCTCTCTTTTGCAGAAGAAAATGTGTATGTTTTTGTGGGTGAATGTGTACTGAAAGACAGAAGGCAAGGGAAACAAAAGTAATGTATCTGCTTATTGTTGTGAAAAAAATGTATTTGTATTAAACAAATGACTCAAATTACTGTAGTATTCTACATTTGTCACTTTGTTATATAAAGCATCACATGCTGAACATGAATTGACAAGACCACACTCTTGCAAGAAAGGTTAACAATATACTCAGCTGCATACTTCATACTGATAAACCTTGCTAGCTACCAGAGGCTAGTTTTGGGTACCATGGCTTCGCAGAATGCTCAGGAAAATACCTCATGGTACAAAAACACTTGAAAAGAACTATAGTTGCTCAACTTGCAGGCATCAACTCTATAAAGAACCCCCAGAAAACAAATGGTTTTACATCCATAGCACAATGGACAACTAGTACTGGGTTTCAACTCCAGGAGGATAAGAAGAAGACCGCTTCCTAAGGAAAACAGTGCTTTGGAATGAACTGTTTGTTATCGTGATTTTGGAATGTCCAACACTAGAAACCTTTGAAGATGGGCTGGACAGTTAAAACACTTTAAAGCTAATCCCACCTCAGACTGTCAGAATGGATCTTGTTCCCTTTTTTATCATTTTAGAGTTTAGATTTTCTCCTTTTCCAAAAACCTTAAAGATTTTTTTTTTAATGAAAGAAATATTACATGTTTGCATTATAAAAAAAGCCTGTGTACTTTGTCAGGTGTTATACCAAAGTAAGTATCCTACCTACAGTGTTCCAACCAAGGTGCAAATTTAGCTTTCCACAGAGGGTTGTATCCACCTATGCCATATCTTTCTCCTGGATGGTCAGCTGGGGAGAGTGGGCCGTTTTGAAACATCACAATTCTAGCTGGAATAAGTCATCATATGGCTGATGACTGGTAGTAAGAGAACAGAGGTATAGGTCCCTATGCCTTTTTGCTTTGCATCAATTGCTTGATGAAGGGTACCATTAGAATAAAAACACATTTCTGTTTCGTTTGATGTCTGTAAACACATAAGCAAGGAAACATGCTATGTGGTATTTAGTCACACCAAACCACACACACCCCCCACCCCAAAACCCCAGCCAATAAAATATTGAGGCTGTTTTGCATGAGCTCTCCTAAAAGTCAAAGAAATTGTAAGTTAACAAAGAACTTGCCAAAAGTACTTTGACTGGTGTACCACATTTTCACTGTCTATGAAACAGAGCTCAGAAAATAACCTTAAATGAGAACAGAATGTTTCCAGTCTGCTGGAGACTGTGGGCCTGGGGACAAACTTGCCCTTCTATTACTTGCAAATACTTATAACTGATGCTCACTGAATCACAGAACTTTCCTTTTTTTTTTTTTAAACACACAAAAGGTAATATATGAATGTATGAAAATACAATAATCAGCACTATTCGAAATAAAAACCGAAGAAGACAGGTCACAGTAATTTTTAAGTGTGTTAACTAAATTACTAATTAATTTGAGGAAATACATCTATAATGAAACATGGATCATTACATCTATGTATACATATGCCTGGGAACAACATGATCTACAAAATTTAATCATGGTTCACAAACAATATAGAATGAAAAGCAAAGCAGAAATATTTAGAGGGGTTAAACTCTGAAAAGAACAACAAACCTACCAAGTCTTAATGGCTCTCAGAAGAAAGACTACTAAACAGAAGTCCTGAAGATACAATCAAAAGAACAAATCAGTTTAGAGGTTCAGGCAAAGGCTTTAGTGAATCTTAAAGTGCCACTTGACCTCTAGGTTTGCTAGCAAATTTTGAAAGCTAGGGAAAAAGAATAGTGTTTCATTAAAAGTATGGGTAAGATTTTTTGAGCACTTCATTTCTTAGCAACGGGCATCATCATTTTATCAGTTCTCAAATCATCATGGTACTGTATTGGCTGACTATGTGTGAACTTGAATATGAGCTGACATTAGTAGGATGCTTCCACCTTTTGGTATTTATTTAGAAAATACTTCAGTTTTTAAAGTAGTGCTGGTATTTTGGTCTAATACCTCAAAAGTTTAATTAGTTTTATTTTTCATTTATAACAGGTAACTAGTTACATATTAAACTCTTCCTTTTAACAAAATTGAGCAATATTTGCAACCAAGCAGTTAAGGCTTAGGAAACTTGATTACACCTCATTAGCAAAGCCTCTTTACCTTCATGAAACTTACTTCTTTTGGGGAAGAAATTATAATGAATTTTTACTCTTGAAAGAGCTAGAAGATAGAAAGATAGTGTATGCATTGTATCATCCAAGGCTGACCGAACAAGCCAATTTGAGATAATTCTGTACTGCGGGCATTTTTTTGCCCTTTACTAGAAAACTAAACCTGAAGGATTCCTTAAGTGGAAAACTTTTTCTGCTGAGGAAAAAAAGAGAGGGTTTTTACTACCCTTTCCTATCTGCAAGGTGTCTAGCAAACCCCAGTTTTTAAAGAAGTTAAACTCCAATATACACATACTTGTACCCCATACTCTATTCTCACATGTGGCAGCCTCATCACAGAGATGAGTAAATACCCTATTGCATTGAAAGACAAACAGACAAAACCCCTACACGATACTCTATAAGTATATTCCTTAAATTACTTACAAATGGCTCAGAAAATGTTTCATATATGTTGTGCATTTGACTTGTTGCATCCCACTGCACGTAGTACAGTTCCATAAGGATCATCACATACTTCGGTAAAAGAAAAAAGGAAAAATACAATACTGAGGGTAAGTTCTTCACTGTATGCTTGTTTCTCCACATCCCAAATGTTGGAAGCCTCATCCCTTTAGAAAAAACTCGTGGAGCAGATGCTGTGATGAACAGTTCCGTTAATTTGGTCACAATTTTTTTCCAACACTAAAGAATCGTAAATTAATCAATTTACATTTACTGTATACAACCAGCCTTGAGCAGGACACTGTTTTCTGTTTTTTGGTTTTGTGTTTTGTTTTTTTTAGTCAACGTTTACTTTGTCTACATGAAAAAAAAAAATCATATTTCTACTGGACTTTAATTCAGCTGGTTCTTTCCAGCTGAGACAATCAACAGAGTATGTTCCAGAACCGGAGCACAACTAACAACTCAACTGCTACTGAAGGTTTGAATGCAATTCAGTCAGTTCCTTAGAGAGGTCTTAGCTTTCCAAGGCTGGCTGGAGTAAAAGTATATCTTAGCAAGAACATTGCAAAGTACAGGGCAATGAATTGGAAAGTACATTAAAAAATCCCAAAGTTCTTATATAAAAGTGGCTGTACATGTAAAAATATTACTTTTTTGTTTGAAATGTTGTATATTTAATATGAGCCCTGATAATTAAAGGAACATTATTTTAACTACTACAACTTTACACTTAAAAACTGAAAAAAACCCCACAGGCCATATTGCGAAGCAGTATCTGACAAGTTAGAATGAAAAAAAATCTTCCCTAAAATTAATCTCTAACCAGAAAAAGGACCTATACATTACAGAGAATTATAATAGAGGATGTAACATTAAAACCTGTAATTCTTAGCTACAAAGGAACAGAATTCCAAAGTATTCCCTACAGCAAGCTTGTAAGAACAGAGAACATCACATAAATACTTCCCATTCCCACTGTTACCAGTATCTGCTTTCTAGATTTTAAAAAAAGAGAGTAACAATTCAGAACTCCTGAGAGCATTCATCTTTTTCCCACAGTAGGGAAGAAATTCATCAACATACAAAACCCTAAGAGCTGACTTAAAAGCACAGGCATGACTGCATTGTGAAATTGAAAGAAGAGATTCATTTACCTCATCTCAGTAACATGAGAGGCTAAATGCTCTCTCTACATCCCCTCCACTCCAGGTCTCTCAGGACAATAAACTCTCAGCAGAGAAATCAAAATTAAAGAAATAAATAGTTTGTTGTTGTTGCCACTGCTACATTAGTATTCTGCAACAATTTGTCTGGTAAATCGGTCTTGCACACCATCAGTTTAGGCCTAGGTTATTTTCAATTCAATTATGAATACCTGGCAGCTACATATGATTTTTTCTGGTAATTCAATGGAAAAAATTCACATGCAGAAATTGTTCTTTTTTCATTACTTGTGCAGTAGGTCAGCATGACAGTTTAAAACCCAGCTAAACAAGCAGTGAATATGTAGACTTCAAGGCAAAAAAATCCACAAATTCAACAAAGTCCAAACTGTAAACATGTATAGAATCATAGAATCAACTGGGTTGGAAGACCTCCGAGATCATCAAGTCCAACCCTTGATCCAACACCACCGTGGTTACTAGACCATGGCACTAAGTGCCACATCCAGTCTCACCTTAAAAACCTCCGGGGACAGTGAATCCACCACCTCCCTGGGCAGCCCATTCCATTGTCTGATTACTCTCTCTGTAAAAAATTTTTTCCTAATATTCAACCTAAACTTCCCCTGGCAGAGCTTAAGACCGTACCCTCTTGTCCTACTGCTGGTTGCCTGGGAGAAGAGACCGACCCCCACCTGGCTACAACCTCCTTTCAGGTAGTTGTAGAGAGTGATGAGGTCTCCCGTGAGCCTTCTCTTCTCCAGGCTAAACAACCCCAGCTCCTTCAGCCTCTCCTCATAGGACTTGTGCTGTGTACTTATAGTCTGAAAGAAAAATGTTAAAAAACAGATCATTTCAAATACTTGATTACCACCTTACCACACAAGTAACAATTTCTTTTTGTAATGTCTTATTACTAGATTGTTTCAAGGAATATAGAACATCTCATTTTTCATAACTTTGCATGACAATCTTTTTTAAAGCATTCACCAGGATGTCAGCCTGATATACTGTAATTGCTATGACACCTTCTAGTTACCTTACTGCTCATTTTCCTTCTGTATTTTACACACAGTCATGGGAAAGTGACTTTTTCTGCAATGTTTTTACTTGCAATTTCAAAGCACATCAGACCTTCCATACAAGCAAAAATTTAAGACGAACTTCTGAAAGGCAAAATCTGTCAAAGCACTGAACAAACCACATACACCACTTTAGTTCAAACCAATTACCATGGCTCAGCTTCCACCACAGTTCAACACTTCAGATTTTACAAATCAAACAAGATAAATTCCACAACATAGCTCAAATTTAA